CACTCTTCTCCTCGACAACCGAGTTCGTAATCACCCTCTCTCTCTCTCTCTCTCTCTCTCTCTCTCTCTCTCTCTCTCTCTCTCTCAATCGTGTGACGAAAGCCGGTGAAGAAGAATAAGCGATCGAGCGAAAAGAGTTCAGAAAGAGGTTAGATATATTTAGGACACGAGAGGAGAGACAAATCAGTGCGAAAGAGCTAAAAATAGATAATCGTCAGCAAATACAGGTGGAATCCATGGGTGACACGTCATAAACATTTATCGGAATCGTAATTACCTTCCACGAGAGAGCGAAGGATCCGTACCCCCAGGTCGACTTATCAGCCTTATCCTGCGTATCTGATCTGTACGGACTCACACAACTCGTCGAGCACTGTCTGAAAACTTTGTGCGGAGATGAACGACTCCAAAGCATGGCTGTGCCAGGTTGTTTCGTCGGACTCATCAGGTGGTTAGACACCGACACAGTCTGCCCAGGATGCATTTGACTTATCGATAAGGACTCACAACGTCGCCCAGAGTTAGCGACACACCTCTACTCACACCAATCCTGCAATCCATGAGTGTGTCTGTGTATGTATGTATGTATGTGTGTGTGTGTGTGTGTGTGTGTGTGTGTGTGTGTGTGTGTGTGTGTGTATGTGTGTCTTTGTGTGCGCGCGCACACAGGTGCCTGTACGTGTGAGTCCGTTCTCATATTCACTATACACAACTCCGCAAAACAAGCACGACTCATCAGGTGAAAGTCGGACTTTTTTTCTGCTAAATCAGGACGTGATTGCGGTCAGGTTCATTCCAAGTCGGACCATCAGGAGGTTTCGTCGAACTTTCAGCAACTCGTCAGGAGGTTGTGTACTGTGCGTGCGCTCACGTGAGAGAGAGAGAGAGAGAGAGAGAGAGAGAGAGAGAGAGAGAGAGAGAGAGAGGTCCCCGTTAACAGGCAGAGAGCGACTGTAGTTGATACGGGCCAACAGAAGTATCAGTCAATTCAATAACCACCTCCGGCCACAGAGCGGCCACACCTTAGTCGCACTATGCCGCCCAGGACATTCTTTCTTTTCCTTCCCTCCTTCCTTCCCTCCTCTCTCTCTCTCTCTCTCTCTCTCTCTCTCTCTCTCTTATGATTCTAAAAAAAAAAGGAAAACAATTCGGAAAAAAGGGGAATGATCAGAAACCATAGCCAACTTCCACAGTGCTACGTAGACCCACGAGGTGGGGGGAAAAAACAACGAGCACAGAATAGAAAATATACACGAAAGATAAATGTTTTGAACTATATTGACTACTATATTTTCAACACAAATCCATACCAATTAGAAATCTATGCAGTACAAAAAAAAAAAAAAAAAAAAAAAAAAAAAAAAAAAAAAAAAAAAAAAAAAAAAAAAAAAAAAAAAAAAAAAAAAAAAACTATGTAGTATTTACACAAGCCCATAGCCCGGATAGTAACCTGAGCCCTGTTGAAAATATATACATATATATTATATAGTATATACAGATAAGAAAAGTTAAAAAAAAATATACATAAAAAAAAACAGCTATATACATCACATACGAGCTCAGCTTGCATATCTTGTGCACTTTTGTGTCGTTAGTTCTGTAAGTTATATCGCTCGCTGGTGTGTATAGTCTGAAATATTTAAATTATATTTTAATTTCGTACTATAATGATGTTGCTTTCGGTGGACATAGGGCCTCGCTCCACGATTCACCAAATGTGCAAAAAATGAGAGTGAATCTTCTGCTAGAACATGGAAAGATACACCCCACCCCCATAATATTTGTCTGTTGCGCATGTCGTGAATAGTGGAGCGAGGCCCATAGTTGGTGGKGGGGGGGGGGGGGGGGGGSGSGGGGSGGGGSGRGGAGAAATGSGACTGCGCTCGCAAAAACGACCAAAAAAAAACAAAAAGACAACCAAAAAAGCTGGAACGGGGTTGGGAGGAGACGCCCAGTATGGGCCTTACTTCACTACGCAATACGTTACATGCATTTGGGCGCTTTCTCGACCAGATACATTCGAAATCTTGGACTCGACATGCATGTGGTCCAGACAGCGTCCAGATTCATGTAGAGTATTCTGTAGTGGAGCGAAGCCCTAAAAGGAAAGGAGCTGTGCATAGTTTGGTAAAGTGTCACTTTTCCACTTTTTCTGACCTTCTCCCTGATTAAAATAAAAATTCTCAATTTTGAATTTTGAATAATAATAATAAACAGTATCATCAATTTTAGACAACACGAGTATTTCACTTGCCACCCAGCCGCACGCGGTGCGCAACCCAGAATCCGATACTCCTCTAAGAAGAGAGACAAGGGAGAAGAGAGGCCAGGAAAGCTTCTTCCCTGCTTACGAAAAAAAAAAAAAAAAAAAAAAACTACACTGCCTACAGAAAAGAAAATCTAAACTCCCCGTCTTCCAAACAAAAAAAAAAAATTAAAAAAAATACACTGCCTACAGAAAAAAAGTCTCTCTTCCCCTTCGTCCTCAAAGCAGCGTGTTTGTCAGCTTCCACCTTCCGGAATGTGAGAGAGAGAGCGAGAGAGAGAGAACGAGAGAGAGAGAGAGAGAGAGAGAGAGAGAGAGAGAGAGAGAGAGAGAGAGAGAGAGAGAGAAAGAGAGAGAAAGAGAAAGAGAGAGAGGGAGACGAGGCAAGGGGAGGGAGGAGTGGAGGGACGAGGGGAGAGGGAGGAACACGATTCCGCCGTAAGCTTCTATCGTACACTACGATTAAAAAAGGGGGTTGCGATTCATAAAGAAAGGCCCGATTTTCTTGAAATTTCCTTTCAGCCTCTAATTCTTCACTCGAAACAAACGGGCAAAAAAAAACAAAGGAAAGCAATAAAATGAAGCGTACATACGAGACATACTCTCTTTGACGTCACGCCTCAACCGCTCACATTCTCTCTCTCTCTCTCTCTCTCTCTCTCTCTCTCTCTCTCTCTCTCTCTCAAAGAGGGTGAACGCGAACCCCGCAGAGCACGACACGGTTTGAAAACCAAGGCAGAGCGCGCAAGAACATGCTCTCTTTCTCTCTCTCTCTCTCTCTCTCTCTCTCACCCACACACACACCCACACACACAGAGTGGGTGAATGCGAACCCCGCAGAGCACGACACCGTTTGAAAACCGAGGCAGAGCGCGCAGGAAAAAGCGAGCGAGAGGCACCCCAGCAACCGAGCGGTGAACGCCCACAGCACGAGACGAGACCGTTAGACAAACCGACGCAGAGCCCACAGCAAAAACCGAACCAACGCCCACGTCTGCCCCGAGCAAAGAACACCCACAGCACGATTAACCGCCTGTTCCCTCGAAGCACAGTACTGCTCTTACCGCGGTAAAGAGGCTTTTTTTTTTTCTTTTTTACAAAGTAAGACCCGTTTAATTCAGCCGCGCTAAGAGCTTTTTTTTTTTTAACAAAGTAAAAAAGCAGTTTAATTTGGGCCTGTACCGGTATCGAAAGCACCAGGCCAAAAATTTCGAAAAAGACGTTTGCGGAATCGAGAGCTTTGGAAGCCGCGCGTTGCTTCGTCCACACGTAGCCTCGTGTGTGACCACACCCTTAGCCAGCGAGCGATGGAAGCCCAGGCCCCCAGCCAGCGAGCGATGGGCGCCGGTAGCACGACAAACGGTTAAAAAACAGGGGCAGAGGCCACAGCAAAAGCCGAGCCTGACGAACGGGTACACACACATGGAGTGTTGAAATAAAGACCCCTACCTACTTCGAATCCAGATGCGACCAGATGAACAGAATAAGATCATTCTTGGGATATAAAAGGAAATGAAGAAACCCCCAAAAAAGAGGAGCAGCCTGGCTCAGAGCCCGCGCCAGCCGGAGCCATGAACGCCCACCGCGGCACGACACGGTAGAATCGATCGATTTTCAAGGAATAATCAGGACGTGATTGCGGTCAGGTTCATTCCAAGTCGTTCCGTAATTGCAGCCAAGCACATTCATAAAAGTGCTCGTACGTATGAGACATCAGCGTCTGTTTGCGTGTTTAGACGAGATCGTGACACGTGTACATGCCACGACAAAGATCCAACGACGTGGCAATACCGACCGATCTCATGTCCCAACGGTCCCAATGAACCGAGATTCAATTTCCCAACCCAAACAGGAAACGCAATGGATTCATCAGAAAAATCTCATCTTTTCCTCTTTTATCGCGTCTTGCCCGCAGTGACACACCACAGGATCGTTCAGAATGTATGTATACAGGCTCTAATCCCGGCTAAGACGGTCAAAATGTATGTATACAGGCTCTAATCCCGGCTAAGTTCCGTCACGTTCAGAATGTATGTATACAGGCTCTAATGCCGGCTAAGTTCCGTCATGAGTGGTGAGAATAGACTACTACTTACATGGTAAACAAACCCGGCGAGCAGCGAACACCACGCCTCGTCGGTTATGTATTAGATATACATATAGATATGTATATATATTGTCACACTGGAAATCAGAGCGCAAAGGCGGAAAAAGACAAAACAAGAAAAAGAAAAAGAAGGAAAGCCCCACCTGTTCGTATATATTGTCACAAGAATATCAGAGCTATATATCGTCAAATAGTCAAACAGAGCTGCCCTACGGTAAACAGTAGGCAGAGAGGGAGGGAGAAGAGGACAAGAAACGAGGGAGGGGCTGTGACAAACTGTTTCGTCGTCGGAGTTTCACCGACTCATCTCCTGGCTGAACCCTATATATAATATAATATATATCGTCACAAACAGAACTGCCCGGTAAACCGTAGGCAGAGAGAGAGAAGAGGACAACAAACGAGGGGCTCTATATGTATATATGTCGGTTGTTCCACAGTGAAAGGGCATACTCACTCTAGGACTTTTCCTAGGGATTTCTGCACGTAATTGCGGTCAGATTCATCTAATCGACGTGCTTTAATTGCGGTCAAATACATCTACGAAAAGGGCCGTGATCGGGGTCAGATGCATCCAGGAAAGTCAAGAAAAGTCTCAACTCCGAGTATGCATGCTCTTAAGGTTGTCTCTGAAACGAAAATTTCGTTTAGGAATATTCCCTCGCAGGTCCACTCTCCGCACGCACCAATTCAGATCTCCCTCCATTTCTGGAACGGAATCGTGTCTATATTCAAAGGACTTTTTTTTTTTCCCCCCCTTTCCTTTCTTGCTTCATTCATAAAATCAAGATCATTTTCAGGAAAATGCCCAACCAAACCCCCCATCACCAGTCGGGTCGGTCGTTGGCGGGAAAATTCCCTTCTCCCGATATTGGCGGGAAAATTCCCTTCTCCCGATATTGGCGGGAAAATTCCCTTCTCCCGATATTGGCGGGAAAATTCCCTTCTCCCGATATTGACGGGAAAATCCCTTTCTCCCGATATTGGCGGGAAAATCCCCTTCTCCCGATATTGGCGGGAAATCCCCTTCTCCCGATATTGGCGGGAAAATCCCCTTCTCCCGATATTGGCGGGAAATCCCCTTCTCCCGATATTGGCGGGAAATCCCCTTCTCCCGATATTGGCGGGAAAATTCCCTTCTCCCGATATTGGCGGGAAAATCCCTGTCTCCTTCTTAAACGGACGACCAATCAACGTCACGACCGATAAAATAAAATCGGATCGAATCCAACATTGGACCCCATATCCACTCGTGCAAACGGAAGCTATAATCAACACCTTCTCTTCTTAACCAAACTTAGGTTCCCACCAGCGAAAAAAAAAAAGAAAAAGAAAAAAAAGAAGACGATGAAAATGTCGTAGACGAAGACAATAATGAAGAAGAAGAAGAAGAAGAATTGAATTGAAAAAGCGAGGCCAATCGCAATGCGTCCATGCCTTAGTGATAAACAGAAAAGCACTTGCACGGACAATCATCTCAACACGCACATTCCCCGACGCGGGCTGTGCCTGGCTGCGCACCAGGACTTCTCAACGGGCTTCCTCTCCCGCATCCACCATAGCAGAAGAAGAAGAAGAAGAAGAAGAAGAAGAAGAAAATGATGAATAAAAAAACGAGCACCTGCGTGAACTCCGACCATAGCTCGAGAAGAAGAAGAAAATAACGAAGAACCAGAAGAAGGAGGAAATATTGAAGACAAAGGATAAGAAGAGAAATACTGAAAAAAAACAGTGGCCATAGACTGCTTCACGCTCATGTATCAAGAGATAAACCTTACATCTCCGCTTGCACAGTTCTCAGTTGAAACGCGCAGATTCCCCGACGTGTTTCAGCCACGCTGCCCTCCAGGCACCTCCTCAAGTGGGCGACTCCCCATACTGCTACTGTGATGAAGAAGAAGATGAAGAAGAAGAAGAAGAAGAAGATATGACGATTAGGTGAAGAAGAAGATGAAGAAGAACATGGGAAATGGATTTTACTTCTCTGCCATCATCGTCGAAATCCACTGAGCAATCAGATATGGTCTAACATACGAGTCTTGTCTGAAATCATATACATCCTCTGATCGGCAACGCAAACAGGAAATCGAAAACTTCGAGTCGGATTCTGAGTCGGAGTCGGAGTCGGAGTCGGGACTCCAAATGCGCACGAAGTACTTCGTACCCCCCAAGTCTAATCAAAATACATTCGATCGGAATCAAACGGAAATCGAAAATCGAGACTCTAAATCGGAATGGGGATCCGGACCCCCCAAAGACATAATCAGGACTTCGTACTGCAGGGTATGAGTAGAACTCGTAATCAACAGGGAAGGGACATTGAGAGAGAGAGAGAGAGAGGGAGAGGGAGAGGGATGGAAAAGTGACAAACCACATGCCACGACGAAAATAGAATAGAGTGTCACATCATGTCGGCAGCCTGAATTCTCTTCTCCTCCTCTTCGTTTCGAATGGCGTTGAGTTGTTGGTCGAGCAGTGCGTTCTTGGACTTGTACATTTCGAGCTGATCGCTGAGAGCAGCGATTCGGTTATGCAGGTCTGCAATGTGCCTGATGAGGTCTTTCTCTCTCTCCGTGGTAACGTCGACCTGGTCGGGCTCGCGAGTTGCGATCTTATTCTTCCACGTGGTCGAGTCGTTGCTCCCCAGACAGCTCATCACGTGTAAGAGGATGTCCTGCTGAGTGAGCACTCGGTGCATCACCTCCTGCAAGTGCGGCATGATTGCAATCACCGGGACAGTAGCCCCATAAGCGGAGTTGAATGGGAGGGTGGAGGAGGAGGAGGAGGAGGAGGAGGAGGAGGAAGAGATTGACGAGGAAGCCGAGCCGCCGGATGATCCGCCGGCCATGGCCGACGCGGACGTTGTGGAAGAGGGCAAGCACGAGTGGAGGTTCATCGCGGAAGCAGGGGCAAGCGGCTGTCCAGCGTTCGGGGGGGAGTAAGACACAGCCGCCGCCGCCGTGACAGACTGACCGGACTGCTGCAGAAGGCGACGGTCCGACCAGTCGCCGACGCTGGTCGACTTGCGCATGAGTTGGGACTTGCCGGCGACCGGTCCGCCCATGACGGCGGCTGGAGCGGCGGCTTGCCGTTTGGAGGAGGAGGAGTTGGGAGGTGAAGATATGATGTTCGTCGGGCCAGCATCGACCAGCTCTTCAACGAATCTTCCGCGGTAGTTGAGAGACGAAGAGGACGAGGAGGTGGTCATCCCGCTGGCAGAGGTCGCACCGCCGCCGCCGACCGGTCGGCTGACCGGCGCGTAGTTTCCATTAGCAGAGGAAGGCCGTTCACGGTCGCGTTCGCGTTCGCGTTCCCGCTCTCCGAAGCTGCTGCTTCGCAGAGATTCCGTGTTGCGCTCATATCCTCCCAATCCTCCTCCTCCTCCTCCTCTCATGCTTTCTCTGTCTCTCTCCCTATCAAAAATCAGGCTCGACGATCTCGAAAACTTACCGCCTATCGGCTGCGGAGAAGGAGCTTTGGGCGATGGCAGCGCGTCTCTCTCTCTCTCAAAGCTGTTCCTCTCTCTATCGAAACTACTCCTCTCTCTTTCCACACGCAAACCAGAGGAGCTGCTATACTCTCCTCCGCCGTTCATCAACTCGCCGGAGTCATATCTAGACGACAACAAGCCCTGGTGTCTGCCTGAACCGGAAGGCTCCTTAGACGACCGTAATAATGCCCCTGGCGGCGGGGGAGTTCCCCCAGGGAGGTACATGGGCTCACCGCCGCCGACTCCGCCGACTCCGCCGCCCGGTCCCCTCGATGCAAACTTCGTTGGACCGTTCATTATAGCAATAGCCGACGACCGAGGCTGGCGAAGCTCGATTTCTCTCTCTCTCTCCCTGTCCCTCTCCCTCTCCCTCTCCCGTTCTCTTTCTCTCTCTCTCTCCCTTTCTCGTTCCCTCTCCCTTTCTCTTTCCCTCTCCCGTTCTCTTTCCCTTTCCCGTTCTCTTTCTCTCTCCCTCTCTCTTTCCCTATCTCTCTCCTGTTTACTTGCCAGAAACTCCGAGCTCAGTCCGAGAGCCTCCCAGTCTTTGTCTTCATCATACGTCGGCGACAACGACGACCGCCGCTGCGCCAGCGACGACGACGTCGAAGAAGAAGAAGAAGAAGAAGACGCAGCAGAAGAAGGAAACGAGGCCTGCGCTTGTACGCTCACTGCGCTCGTCGAGGAAATTGCTCCCACCGGAGTGCTGATGGAGTAAGGGATCACGTCGCTACCTCCCTCGCCGCCGGGCTCGTTCGCACCCACGCCTGTGCCAGCTGTACCTCTTGTTGCTCCCGTGCCACCAGCGGCAGCAGAACCAGCGCTTGCTCCTCCTCCGCCGCCGCCACTGCTGCCCATCCCAGCCCCCCGTCTTGGTGAGCTCCCGCCTCGCACGCCTGGCGATCCCGGTCTCCCTCCTTCGTCCGACGATGGCGTTCCCGGTCCTTCGTCATCGTCGTCTTTGAGCAAGCTTGCCTCTCTCTTCAGGTCTTCCAGGCTGAAGTTCCATCCACTCACCCCCTTCACGTATGCCTCCTGCGACTCCTCCTCCTCCCTCTCCATCGGCATCTTCTGCGCCGCCGCCTTCGCCTTCTTCTCATTCAGCGCCCGCACTCTGTCCACCAACGGCGGGAGCCCTTGCATCACGTGCCGTACCAAGTACTCCGGTGAGCGCGCTTGCCTAAAGAAAGGGTGTTTCAGCAACTTGTCCGCTGTAGGCCTCTTACTGGGGTCCTTGACTAGACAGCTGGCAATCATCTCCTTGAACGACTTCGTGAACCTCTTGTCTCTCTCCAAGTCCAAGGTCGGCGGCGCGTGCTGCAATGTCATCAATAGGATCTTCATCGGCGGGTACTTGGAAAACGGCGCGTTGCCGTGTGCCAACTCCAACGCGGTGATGCCAAAGGACCAGATATCTGCCTTGAAATCGTAGCCGTGGATTTGCTCCATCACCTCCGGCGCCATCCAGCACGGGGTCCCGACGAAGGTCTGCCTCGACTTCTGTCGGTCGCCCGTCTCGAACATACACGCAGAGACTCCAAAATCTGCCAGCTTCACTTGGCCGCTGTTGTCTATCAGGATATTGCCCGCCTTGACATCTCGGTGGATGTGACCGTGTCTGTGGAGGTACTCCAAGGCCTTCAGCGTCTCCTTGAGAATCGTCGCAATCACTACCTCTTCAAAGCCTTCTGGAAAAGCGGACTTCATGACGTGCAAGCAAGATCCTCCCGCCAGAAAGGGCATCACCACCCACAGATGACGATCGACCACGAAGGAGCAGAACGCCCGCACCACGTTCGGATGATTAATTAGACTCATCGTCTGCGCCTCTTTGCGGATCTCATCGAGAGTGCTTTGGCATTTCTCCAAATCAAGCACCTTAATTGCCACAATCTCGTTGAGAGGAATGCACAGAGACCTGTACACCGTGGCGCTCACGCCGCTCCCACATTCCTGCAAAAGACGATAATCTTTCGCGTTCGTGGGGAGCCCCTTCTTCTCCTCCATCTTGCTCCTCTGTCCCTCTTGCTCCTCTTCCTCCTTTCCTTCTCCCTATATACCCTCTTCAACGACGACGGAGAAACCTCCACGTGGCACCCTGGTTGTCTGTCACACGCGTTGCCCGAATCTTTTCCCCTCTCGTCAAAGCATCCCTCCTCCTCCTCCTCCTCCTACCACTAGTACACTCGGTGCTCCCAACTACGACTACTCTTCCTGCTGCTCCTACTCCGGGTATCAATCAATCAATCAATCAATCGATCAATCAATCAATCAATCAATCAATCAATCAATTAATTGACTAATCAATTAGTCACGGTCCGACTGGGTGCTCCTACTCTACTAGTACTCTCTGGTTCCAACTTCGGACTCCCAACTAACGGTTCTCCTGCTGGTCAGCGTCTTGCTTCAATCACGAAGGAGAATCTGGCCACGTCACACCCCCGTTATCCCACGTGGCGGCGGAGTGCTCTCTCCTACCACGTTTTAAAAGAATGCCTCCTATTCCTAATACTCTGGGTTCTCCACGTCTTCCCTAATCTGGCTCCTCCTCCTCCTCCTCCTCCTCCTCCTCCTCCACCCTACACTTCCCTCCTTCCCTCACTCCCTCCTACTCTAGCCCATCGTTCAAGCTTTATACAATTTAATTAATAATACAGCAACAATAGTCAAAATAATAACCGCGACGTTCCCGCGCTTCACTAGGATTCGAGAACAAAAGAAAACAGACACATGCGTCCTTCCAACCAAAGGCAACCAATCAATGATTGACCCCAATCAATAGTAATCGCAACGATATTTTCAGACAGAATGCCCGCCGTCCACCTCGAGTATGGTGCAGACGTGATCTGACCGATCGGTCAGTTACAGCGGCAACCAATCAATGATCGACCCAATCAATCACGGGAAAAATCAATTAGTTGATTACCCAGCGCAGCAAAGAAGCACGGTCGGAAACCGACTTCAGCAAAGACAGCCTGACCACTCAAACATGCGTCCTTCCAAACACTCCGCTCGTAAAACAGCACAGTTGTTTAACGGAAGGAGTCGTATTGCTTCCCCTCCCTCCCTTTCCCACTCTCCCCTCGTATTTTGCTTCCTCTCCCTCCCTTCCCCACTCCTTCCCCCAGCCGTCGTTCCCGTGGGTATGTATAGTTAACGCCCTGACGTGGCTCTCTGCCCACCCTCACCGCGCATCACTTCCAATCCGCTCCAGTGCACGGCAGCTTCGACGAATATTCCATAGTTAGCATGACACCTCAACATTGCACTGCAACTTCGACGAATATTCCATAGCAAAGTTGACACGTCCGCACATCATCTCATCGATTTTCGCTACAATCTCTCTCTCTCTCTCTCTCTCTCTCTCTCTCTCTCTCTCTCTCTCTCTCTCTCTCTCTCTCTCTCTCTCTCTGTGTGTGCCTATCTATCTTCTTTCTTCCACATCCTCCAGCCGTTATCTCCCTGACCAAATTTTCCAAATCACGTGATCAGAATATACTCTACAATTCAAATCTCGACAAATGTAGAGAGGGGTAGTAGACTCCCGCTCCCTACCAGTGAGGAAGTGTCTGTCGCTGGTGAGTTGGTCGGCTCCTTCAATTGCGCACGGAGAAACGCTGGAAATTCTAGAGGGTGGTCTGTCTTCCATGCTGCGTCTCGATGACGAAGACTTGCCGCCGCTCCACCTCCTTCTAGTCCCCCTCTCTCTACTCCTCTCTCCCCCTCTCCCTCTTCCTACGCGCCCACCTACTCCTATGATGACTGATGACTTCTCTTGGGATAGTTCAGACACCTCGCAAGATACACTCGAAGAAGCATCACCCTCCTCAGCAGATGGTTCCAGAAACATTATCCTGTGATCGTGCTTCAATCTTTTAAAGTCCTTACTCTTCTTCGCCTTTGCCGCCCCCCCTGGTCCATGAAAAAGCTTCCCCCCCTCCTTTTACACCTGCTTATCGTCCTCTGCCTATCCCTCACAGCTGGAACGCCCAAAGATTGACAGAAAACAGATGATTGGATGGCCGGATGGATGGATTATCCCATAGTCCCTCCTGCTCACCTACTACTGATTACACCCGCCTCGACTACGCCAACTCCTCCTTCCACCAACTCCGAGCCGCAGCCTTCGTATCTCCTCACAAATTCTCACCTTGAAGTTCACAGACGATCCGAACAACTGCAACAACCACCTCTCTCTCTCTCTCTCTCTCTCTCTCTCTCTCTCTCTCTCGCTCGCTCGCTCGCTCGCTCGCTTGTCGAGTGGACCAAATTAGTCGCCACCGCCGCTTGATTGTCTATCATCTGGGAAAAGATTCGACCCCCAAGAAGGGCTCTTGGTCGCCATCACCTTCTCTCTCTCTCTCTCTCTCTGTGTCTCCACTCTCTCCGTCTCTTTCTCTCTCGTTCAGTCGCTCTGTCGTGCTTTCTCCTTAGCTGCGGAGCCACGAAAGACGCTCGCTGTAGGAAACCTCGGACTCGGTTGAACGGCGAAACGAACTGTTTTCTCTATTGCTGACAGGAACCCCTGTGCTCGTCCAACCCATGACTTCAGTTTCCCCCCCTTCCCCCTTACAGCCCAGGCCCAGTCGGCGTTGCCTGACGCTTGGCTACCGCCCAGTCCGTAATGACTTTGGATCCAGTCGGCGACCTCGGATCTGGCAGTCGTCCGCAGTCACAAACCATCCAGCAAGAATCTGGGTCGAGACTCCGCACTGCGCTGCGTACGACCGCCAGCCAGCCGATTGCGTGGCTCCGCAGTTCAGCCGGTGCCATCGTTCACCTCCCACTGCCATCTTATTCCCATTTTATATTTTTTTAATATTTTGTTCTTTTATTCACTTCTTTTGGCATTTTGCTTTTGAAAATCGCATTGCAAACGTTTACTTCTCCGTCTTTGATTGCGTAGATCGGCATGGCCGAGGTTCCACTTGGCCAGATCTACACGATCGACGGTCGAAATGGACATCGGTCGGAGTAAGTGGGACATTCACCCCAGGGCCTTCTCCTGGGGCGTGGTCCCACTAGTAGCAAAGAGGATCGGATCGAATGCCTGAATCTGGATGTGTTTGGAGATAGGTGCAGGAAATCGAGATTGAACTGCTTTTCTGCATCTCTGCGTAAAACACATCCAGATGCAGGCATTCTATCCGATCCTCTTGGCTAGTAGGACCTCGGGCCTGGTTTCAGGCTATGGCAGACGCTTAGGCGCGCCACTTCTTCTTTTTTCTTTTTTTTTTTAATAAAATTGCACTCATTACCAACAGAAAACTTAGAGGCCGGGGACCTCACAATTCAACCGGATCACTGACAGCATCAGCCAGCTTAGCTTACAGGCCTTAGCCTGCGGAAGTCTTCTCTACCGACTTCCAGACATCTAGCTCTCCTAGCCTTCTATTCTTCAACTTGGGAACAGTCTCTACAGTACCATCTGTCTCTGATTGTTGTCTTGGAAATGAACAAGCTGATTGGTTAGCACTTAAGCACCTCGAAGCAAATGACACAGACCTTCGTACGGAAGGGAAGAGCCCGGTTTCATCTATTCTACCTGATTCTGGGACTAAAATGGCCCAGAGGACAGCGTCCTGGCCCTACTCCTACTGGCACTCTCCTATAGGCCCACAGCGGCCCTACTCAACCGAGTGCCCTGGTTGGCAAATACAAGAACCATTCCAACTACCAAAGTCTACTTACAACCTAGCTAAAACCACTAGTAGCGGAAACACTCCTTTTCCGCCTCTGGTCCCCGAGTTTCCAGGGTCCGGTCTTCAGAGATCCATGGGGCCAGTGATAGGCCTCCTTCCCCTTGGACAGTTGCGAGCCTGTGTTGAGGACCTCGCTCCGTTTTAAAAAATAAAAAATAAAAAATAAGGGCCTCGCTCCACTACTCTCCACATGCACAAAAGACAAACAAAATATGGTTGTTGTTGTTGTTTTTTTTTTTTTTTTTTTAAATGTTTGTTTGTATGGTTGTGTTTTCGATTTGCACATTTGGCGAGCGGGGCCCTAATAAATAAGGCTGATGGCATACTCAGGGAATACTCACAGGACTTTTTCGACTTTTCTCTGGACGTGATCGTCGAGGTAAGAATCATCCAGTCCAGCCGTGCTCCCAAAAGCCGTCGTATACCACACCACTCTCGAAATGTGCAAAATGAGAATGAACTTTCGCCTCGAACACGTCCAGATGCACACGCCACAGTTTTGTCTTTCGCACATTTCGAGAGTGGGGGCGGGGAGCCCCTACGTGTGAATGTGAGTGTGGCCCCACATCGGGACGAGTTGTTTTCTGTTTTTTTTTTGTTTTTTTGTTTTTTTTTTGGATCGAAACATTGGGACGAGTTTGGCACTGTCGGTCCGGTTCGTCGATGGAAGTCTCCGTGTGAACACGACCTATCGAGCACAATCGGGACTTTCGAGGTGATGTGGCCCCAAAATCAGCCAGGTTCGGTGCAAAACACTCTGGAATTCGAGCATCACCAACGGCGAGGAGCATTATCGAAGTCGAAGGCGGGAGCATGATGGACGCCAGGGGTGAGGTCCCGACTAGCAAAGAGGGTTGGATAAATATCCTGAATCTGGACGTGTTTTAAGAAGAGATGCGGAGAAGCAGTTCAATCTCGACATTCTGCACCTTTCCTCAAACAAGTCCAGATACGGGTGCTCAATCCAATCCTCTTAGCTAGTGGGACCATGCTCCAGGAGCATTATTCATGGACGATACAGGTGGCCTTCACAAAGCGAAACAGAACTGCGTGAGGCCAGGCCTCAGGTGCAGGCACACGAGTTCTGAGGGGCAAACGCGCAGAGGGATGACACACACGCAAAAATCGAGACATGGTCCAAATAAATAACACAAGGGAAAGTTTTGAAATGCCCCTCCAACTTCCATTTATTTGCGGCATGCCCCTCTGAGGGGTGACATACCCTGTCCGCCCTTCTGACAACGATTGAAGTTTCCGAAAAACCGCTGGCGTTGTTTAGACCTGTGATATGTTCAATATGCCCCTACCAGTACCCATTCCAAATTTCCAGTATGCCCTGCTAGCTCCCCTCCCAGAGCCACGGGAACGGCCGCGAATGCCACAAACGGCCACAGGGGCATGCTGGAAAGTTGCACCCCTCACTGACCTGGGCCTGCAGGAAACTTCAGAGGCCCTGGGGGCACAACAGGGTAAGTCAGCCTTCGGAGGGGCATACCGCAAATAAATGGAAGTCGGAGGGGCATTTTGAAATTTACCCAAAAACAAACTGAGGGAAACTTGTTGGTATACCCCTAAAAGTTTGGGTACTGCGTTGAATACCCGTAACACGTAGGGTTATGCTGAAATGCCCCAAACTTGTGCATATGGGTCTCGCTCCACTACTATCTGCTGTACACAATTTCGTATAGCGGCCGTATAGTTGTCAGAGCTCTAAAAACCGTATAAAACCTAGTGTTGCTCCACTTACTATCCGCTATACGACTCTCCAAATTTGGAGTTCACTACAAAACACTCTCACAGCACTACAAGACATCAATTTGTCGGCCCAGACTCCAGGCTCTCCATACGATTTTGCGATGCTACGCCGACCTCCTTCGACCACCCTCCGAGTAACAACTTTTGCAGGCTGGTTACTATACGGGATCGTATGGTGAAGCGGGAGGGCACCTTCTGACAACTATACGGCGATTTCCGAAGACGCATTTCGTATAGGTAGTGGAGCGATGTCATACTATACGAAATCGTACAGTAGATAATAGTGGAGCGAGACTCTATGCCCCCGTCCCGCTCGTTGGCAACTTCGCCATATGCACTGGCCCTTGGCTGCATGGGCCCATGCATTTCGCTTGCCATCTGCAGCGTCCAACGGCCTAGAATATCGGGGCATATAGACAAGTTGCTCAAGGCTTGGTAGGGGTATATGCAAATGATGACAGGTCTAATTGGTGAGCGGGGTGTTTCGCAAAGTTTCACTAGTGTCATAGAGGCATTTGGTCATTCCTATGCCTTTTAGTGGTATCTGACAAAATACCCAAACTTCCATGGGTGTTTCAACAATTTTCCCAAAAACTGGACACGGTGTAATTTCATTCATAAAAAATGGAAATTAGGTTGAGGCCTCATAATTACCTACAGAGAAAGGTCTGGGAGCATTACCCAGTTTTGCTTTCCCAAGTTACTGGCACCGTATACAAACTACAGTAGTTATTGAGCAGTGCAGCGAACTTGTCAAAATCTCAATTCAAGTTAAAAACAAAATCATATTTATGAGTGATCTAATACTAACATAATTATTGATGTTGATATTACTACGACTACTATAACTACTAATGAGGACCTAGCGCGGCCCCTGGACCTTTTGGTCCGGTGGAGCATGGCTCCCACCATTACTGGCACTTGTACTTCTGAGGCAGTCCTGGGACAGACATAGGGACAGACCCTACGAAACCATGGGTCTAATTGCACCACTCGCAATACAAGGAGGGCTGACAGTGAAAATTGGATAATAAGAATCACCCCCCAACCGAGCAGACTTGAGGGGGAGGAGGGTCTTCTACGTATGTTGTCACATTGCCACGGATCAGCCCAGCCTGGCAAGAGAGGGGGTTGGTGTCGTACAGGGGTTGCGCTAGACTCCATGGAGGTTGATTGTCTGTCACACTTATGGCGTTCAAGGTGGCAAACTTGGACCATCTAGCAAGCTTAGGTCACGCGACAATTTGGAGCTACGAAGTTGGGGACCCATGAACACTCAGAGCTATAATGAACCTGGCCACGTTGAGACGGTTTACAATGGGATGAAAACATGAGCGTCGTGGCCAGTGGAGGAAAAATCATCTTATCTATTTCATCATCGCTATCACGGTGTCAGCACACAAACCCTTACAAGAGTATCTGCTCGGTATTTTAAAGGTCATACATTGTATAACCATTTATGATAAAATTATTGAATTATGTAATTAAATCTGTTTGATGCATCCCCCAAAAGTTACTTCAAACCGAGCGTATGACTGAAAAAACTTAAAGGTTTTCAAATCTGGCCGCCTGTCAATATCCGAAAAAATGTGCTTAAAAGCTAACGACGTGATCAAGCGGTTGCGGTAATTTTTAGATTAGCACAGGATATCAAAACACTTAACGTCATATGAAGTTTTTAATGAATAAGCAACATGGTTGTTATTCCTTGTCTGAATGGAATGATGAGCGTTTACTCCTTGTGAGAAAAGGCATAAAAAAATGTTTGTCTCTCCCATTACACTCCTCCACTTGCAAGATGAACAAGGATGGTGTCCGCTCTTTTGTAGGTGTCTGAGGATCTCTCTTATTTTTACCATTCTAAATGCGTGGGATAAAATGCATTATACTTTCCACTTCCCTTCCTCGGTGTCGAGCGCATCAGTCCGACACCGCACAAAACGGGGCGGGACCTTCTCGACCGCGTCATGCAGGAGTTGGTCTGATCCTCGTTGTG